CGTGACTACAAATTCTGTACTTAGTTTCACTTCGGTAGTTACTTGAATCAATGCGCTCTACAGCCTCAATGACTGAGTGGTCATTATTTCCTTAATAGCTATTGAAGATAGATGCTCATCTTCTTCATCCTCCGACAATGAATATCACGATGCTCAAGAAGACTCTGCGGATGAAGGACATACTCCGCATTTAGAAGAAAAAGCCTATGGAAAGCCGCCTTCTTAGGCCAAGTGAAGAATATGCAGTACCTGGATATCAGCAAACTATTGGGACGACCCCATCCCACAATGCCTTGCATTCTGACTAAAAACGGTATTTCATACTTCCTCCAGGTACTCATTGATTCAGGAGCCAATAGCCATAGATTACTGGACTCTTCTTTGCTAAAGAGACTCTCACACTCGTTAAAACCTTTCCTTCATCGTCTTACTCGTCCAATTCCAATCAAAGGGTACAATGGACTCGCTGGCAAGTCCATTAAACATTACACTTATTTGAATTTTACTATAGACAAACGCATTCAATCATTTACTCCTTTTTTAGTCACTTCTCTCGGAAACCACGGATTAATTCTTGGACGCCAATGGCTGGCCTAGTATCGTGTGCTACTAGAAGCTGTGCGACGCCGACTCATCTGGCCTAAAAAGGCACGCATTAGATCTATGCATACAAAAGCTATCTTACTATATATCGTAGAATTGTGAGCTTACATAGAGCGTCACACGTGGACAATTTAGGTAAATTATCGACTTTGTAAATGTAAGTCTGTGATCACAGAAATTGGAAATAATTCATGAGATTGCTTAATGAGAGGCTAGTATTGATTCCGATGTAATTTGGTAGAAGACTTATCCCAAATATCAGGGGGTAACAACGTCTGTATCTATCTACAGGTAAATTCCCCATGATTTAACCACGCTAGCCATACAGGAACTAGCATATAAAACTTGATTTATATCATCAGTTTGGGGTTGAGGTTTACCGTGCAGATGCTACTCGAGTCGCATGTCTGACTACTATACGACACGCTCAGGTATCAATCTAACAACCCACACTTAAACCGAAAATACTCAGAACTCTCATCATGACCCCATGAATAGTTTTAACAGTAGCCTGCAACATAGCACAATTATGCTAGACATCGTTGACCAGGAGCTAATCCGAACACACCCCTTCAGGAAGGAGTTGGAAGGAGACTAGAAAGGCAGAGAGTGAATTTGCCGAGGTACCCACAAGTCTACAGAGCCCAGGTGGCCGGCCCCTTCGAACGCTTCAGGAGGATCACTATGTCTTCGGATCTAGTCCTAATGTCGGTATTAGAAGAGCTCCGCACCTAGTAGTTTTTGCGGTTTTTCTCGGCTGCCATACACTCGCAAATGGCCATCTTTTCGTGGGCTGTAGAAGGGAGATAATGAAGGACAAAGGGCTCCCCAAAGTGTATGATTGAAAGAGGGCTTGTGAGGGGCAGCACTGTTTGAGGGGAGCTGTATGGGAGGCATAGGAGGCATAGGAGGGGATATACTACTGGTATAGGTATCCTTGGCCTGTAAGCAGAGAAGACTTGCATGTCCAACATAGTCATATACTCAGACAGGACAATAAAATTAATTAATAATAATAATAGTACATTGAGCTAGAAGAGTGGTGGCAGAAATATCGACGGAAACGATACAAAGATCTGGACCTATTCATGCGATGCAAAAGACCACCGGAACTAGCTTTACCAAGATGGGCGTATCATCTTTTGATCGCGGCAAGAACAGGCCACGGTGACTACGCCGACTACCATCGACGCTTCAACCCCGAACCTGAAGATCTGAAATGCTTTTGCAGCCGAGCGAAAAGGCCCTGGCATTTTCCAGAGTGCCGACCTGCTTTGCTACGTTAGAGAAACTATGAGAAAATGGCCCCACCTGGGGCCAGGGAAATGATAGGGGAGAAGGGATGGCAGAAGTTCATTCGATTCTTAACTACAAGCCGATGTTACAGTCTGCCGAAGAATGAGCAGGGTGGGAGGTGACCACGCTGAGATTGTTTCTGACCCGAGAGGAGATGGGTGTGGGAGATAGAGATGCAGAGCAGGGCACCGTAACTCAGACATATACTGTTCTTTTTTTTTCATTTTTTTTTCATTCTTTTCTTTGGTTGCTTCTGGCCCCACCGCCGGTCATGTAGGTAACAATGAGCTTTCAGAGCCCATCTACCCGTGTCACGTCTAAATAGATGTTAGGTTCTTCCTGTCACGTAAAATATTTCAAATTCAAATAGTACATTGGGCTCTACTCTGACCCAGGCCACACCTTGTACAGTGATCCTTGCCTCTCATGTTTCTTGAAAGATCATTGATATATTGCCCGTGATGAATAGCCATTCAGCTTAGTATTTACCCGTGGAAATCGGCCACCTTTTCCACGGAAACTTCTACCCAAAAAAAAAAAAAAAAAAAAAAAAAAAAAAAAGGAAACTGCGTACGCGGGAAAAAGTCTCATAAAACCTGCAGTCCTAGTAAGGCGGGGCTTAGACACCGAGACCACATGTGGTTCGCATACTCATCTACATCTCCCTTCTTTGAGACTGTCGAGGCCGACTTGATCCAATCCACCATCGCCGTATCGGGTGCTGGGTACGCTCCGGAAACTCATCGGATGGCTTTTCCTCCATGATCAAGTGTTGATGATGAAAAAGGCTATGGATCCAAAAGACTCGGATCATAGTGTCCCCGTGCAAGGTTTGTAGTAACTGCTGTACGGCGGTAGTGTGATCTGAATCTTCTGGGTCCTCAGGGCTATGATCCTACAATCTGATCTGATATTCTTTTTTTTTAAATCATTTGATGTGTATTCAGCTATATAGCTACGACAAATGACCGGTGCTATGTATACATGTTGGATGACTCTTTTGACGTTAGAGATACTCTTACTCTGGATTTCATTTGCAAATACCACAATGAGGTATGTTCGCTTACACAAACAGTCGATCCTCCTCCGTAAGTACCCACCAAAGGGACGTTCCAAAACCTTTGGTTATCCAAGCATGCCTTCGTCATCCATGCATACCAGCTCCGCGAGAAATGTGGTTGTGTTTTGCTGGATTTGAACCAGCGATCTACTGTCTCGAGTGGGATATGTGTCCAAGCTATCCAGACCTTACTTAGCAGACCGGTCAAGACGATGTACCACCGCGCCATCCAGCCATGGCGATGTTTATAGTGTCGCCTGCACTCTCCCAACCGAAGCCTTGGCACGCATAAAGCTCAATTTGTAAAAACTCCTTGCCGAAATTCAAAATTCCACGCCCGTCGAGACTGTGTCTATCCTTTGCATCATCTTGTTAACTTGTCCTGAATCCTCTCACGCCAGTCCCAAAGAACTGTCTCCCAGATTTGTGCACCACGCTTTGTGTCCTCCGTCCAATAGAAATATCGGCGTGGGCGTGTATTTGGTGACCAGCTGAGGCAAGAGGAGATCTGATCTGATCGTGCTGGCTGCATGATAAAGATAACGGGGGATTATGCTGAGAGATGAAGACAATACAGACGGCGAAAGTGATTGGGAATCCTTGTCGAAGAGAGAACTTTGTTACTCAATCTCGGCTCTGCAGACTCTACAGTGAGAGCTAGAGGTTCGTAGGGGACACCACTCACAGGTGTTGAGAATAGTCCCGCTCCGATATGGTGTCAAAGCAGGATAGCTGAATACGAAATAAAAATCAGATACAATGTAAACGGTTGCGTTTTCACCGCCACTCTGCAGCCATAGCTTTATTTAAGGCTTCCATAAGCTGCGTTGTTCGGGCCCTAACAAACCTTCGTTATGTTCCACTTTGAGTCGCCAGTGTAACAGCTAGAAATGAGTGGTCATCTGTTGTCCAAGGTCTCCAAGATTGTTTGGGTTTCGTGCCACGGTCATCCAACCAAAAATCTCGATAGAAAGAGGTCCAACAAATCAGAAGTATCGCATCTGATTGCGGGCATGTTACAGGACCTCTAGTGTCAACGTGTTTCCTGGTAAATTATTGCAAGTCAAATCAAATATAAATCTAGATAAAATAGCCAATACGATGTCTTCCAGTCAGGACTTTGAGTTCTTGGGCTACATATCTCGCAACCAATAGCGCCGAGTAATTGACAACTCAGAACTCGTGCCGACCTAAGGACGAATTAAATTTATCATTGGTCCGATGTATTCAGCACAAGACTCTCAAAGGGTGATAAATGTCCATTCAGCGCTAATAGAAATGCCAACCGAGTTTAGCTTGGACCTCGAACGTTAGCCTTTGACGTAAAATTAGTTTCTATCCGGTCGCGATGCGATGGAAATAATAAATTGACAACCACAACATTTGGCTGTTTTAACCATGAACATGCGCGTGGCATATGAGATTCATGTAAAGCAGTTAGCTTTTAGATCCACATGCAGGTCAAGGAATACAATTTGTGTGAATTATCATTTATTATGGGATATTGTCGGGCATCGTAGCTGATATGACACGTCAACAAAATACCCTTTACATTAGTCGATCCTGAGGCCAATCTATGGTTATCAGCAACACCTTCGCCCCGCATAAATAGAATCATTTCGATTAGGGATCTAAATACCAATCATCCAAACTAAATTTATCCTTGCAAAGCCGATCCGTGAAGAGAGTTATCATGGTAAGTTTCTTAGACTTTGGACCTAGAAGAAGCTTAAACTGGCACAGTTCATTTGTCAATACCTAGAATGATTAACACTGAAAAGGGAGTAGAAGGAGATACTCAGCCGCAAAAGTCGTTCATTTTTCTTCAACTTCACATCCATCACCATTCAACTCTCCAGCTGAACCATTGAATTTAATCATATTCTTAAAATCGAAAAATCATCAGAAGAAAATCATGTCTCTTACCATTTCGATTAAAAAATACCTGGCCATCAACCCATTAGAATCTCTTTTGGAAAACTTCCGTGACATATATTATGCGAAATTTTCTACACCATGCGGTAGTATATTCGAAAAGCCCATGAACTCAAGCACATGCCGAAACCCAGTCAAAAACCTGGTAGTTTCTTTAAAGAACTACCTCAGTGAAGGATACTTGATAGATTCAGATATCAATAATATTAATTCACGTCTCACAAGAATATGTAAATGGATGAAGTCAACACAATTTGACTTGGATCCATTTGTACCTCTGGCCACGCTGATTCTAAATCATGCTTCTGACACTGAGGTATGGATATCACTTTTGGAACTTGTTGACACGCTTGAAAAGATAATCGAGGCCCTAGAAGAAAAGTTAGACAACCCAGGTGCCAAATCGATGTTCAGGCGGACTGGGATAACACGCGAATGGACGGAACAAACCATGCTTCATCTAAAAATGATGCTTCGTAGAGAGCTGTACGGGTCGGTTTTCATTAACGTCTATGGTTTTTGCAGTAAATACTTCACCCAAAAGTCATGGACAAATGACTGTATCGAACTGGCAAAAGAATATGTGAAGCGCTCCGGGGAAGATGATTTGAAATTTCCAACAGATCTAGACGAAATTCTGGTGTGGGAATGGATGAAGAATGTGGAAAACAAAATTTTCCATTCGTCTAAAGAATCATCGGAAACCTCGACAGAATCATCTTACTCTCTGCCGGCCCAGGCTGTACCTCTTTTGAAAGGTACTCAACATCGCATGAACCAAGCAGGCACAATCGATGGCGCACAATCTGAGAGACAAGTTGACTACTACATCACGCGGCGAGATGTTTCGACTTCATCTCATGACTGGCGCGATATTCTCGTGATTGGAGAGTTAACAAAGTCTCCAACAGATGAGTTTATGAAAAATTTTCTACAGCACTCTGCGCTAATGCGGGAGGTGTTTTTCGCACAACCACTTCGACAGTTTGTGCACGGGTTTATCCTCTTTGGCAAGTCTCTTCTGCTCTGGGTATACGATCGGTCAGGGCCATACTGTAGTTCATTTATCGACATTGGCCAATCACCGCAGACGCTTGTGTATGTGATGGCAGCGTATATGTCAATGAGTGATGCAGAACTTGGACTTGACCCAAACATTAAGTACGAAGCCCATCAAACTACGGTAACGCTAGATGTTCCCGGACCAGAGAAGACGCGCGAGTTTAGACTTTTTCCAGAGCCAGTCGCACAGCCGACGACACTTGTGACAAGGGGAACCAGCTGTTACCGGGATCTAGATGGTGGTTGTGTAGTCAAGTTCTCCTGGAGAATGTGCGGGGATGACTCGGAGGCAAAGCTGCTCGAACATGCGAAAGACGTGGATGGCATGGTGAAGCTTGTGGGATGGCGCGACTCAGTAAAAATTAGCCAACTTCGAGAAGGACTGATATTCACACAGGCAATGGTGAAAGATACGCGTCCAAATGACAAAGCCATGGCCACTCCACTTGGGTTCACTGATGGTTTTATGCCAGATCAAAAGAAAAGCACCAGCAAGATCACGAAGCGTAAGCGAAGGGGCGAAGTAAACGAAGCCGGGACTGAACATGGACGGTCGAGTAAAAGGGCAAGATCCTCAGCTGGATGTGAGCCAATTCTTCATCCACATCTCGAAAAATATTTACTAACAATATGAAAGCATCAGTCATGGCAGAAAGTGTCACGGAAAATAGGCCATCTGTATCGTTGAATGTCATCACCGAAGAAGATGTGTCTTGTGTTCCAGGGGATGAAAGCACTAATAATGCCGAAATCTCTATTGGAGGAGACAGACAGTCTACTAGGGAGAAACGGAAGAACTTGGAGAGCGACGAAGTCAACGGTCGAATCAAGAGGCTTCAACTTTCAAGCAATGCAGACAATGCAGACAATGGAACAACTAACGGTAATTCCGGCACCAGCAACTTTCCCGATATGGAAAAAGTCATTGGAATCTCGCCTTTCATTTTCGGAAGTGATCATTTGAATGTCACACACGATAATATCTGGCCCGAATTCAAAGTTAAGGTCAGAGTTGCAGGGATCCGAGATCGTCAGTACTCGGCCGTTGCGACAACGCCATTTGGACGACCGATACACAAGGTTGAATCGCCAATTGAACTGGTCATCGGGCTGCGTGATGCGATCAAGGCGCACAGGTCACTACTCAAAGATGCCATGATACTGCACCTGGATATATCAGAAAATAACATTATTTTGACTGGTTCCGATGTTAGCAAGGACTGGAGGGGATTCTTGATCGATCTAGACCTGGCTGTACTGCTGTCCGATGACAAAGCTCAGAGAAAGACTCAGACAATGACCGGGACTATGGAGTTTATGGCACTAGAACTTCTTAGTGGGAGTTGTGAAAAAACAGGTGCCATAGTCAATCATTCATACCGCCATGACTTGGAGTCGTTCTTTTATGTCCTCTTATGGTTAAGTATGAGTCGCGGATGGGAAAAGGGCAAAGAACAGAACCGAGATTACCTTTCGAAATGGTTCACAGGGACTGCGAAAGAGATCTTTGAATTTAAGAATACTCAAATGAAAGAATCAAATATCGAAGAAGATGTTTTGAACAAGTTCTCGCCAAAGTTTTATGGATTGAGGAGGCTAGCAAAGGAGTTCTGGAGGATAATATTTCTCACAAACGGAACATTTTTTATAGGAGCTTACAAGGATAATAACGCGTTGTATAACTCAACCATGGCGGCATTTGATGAGGAAATTCAGATGATGATAGTGTAAGAGAAAATTAGTGATAAATCTCATTTGTCAAGGTATTTATGAGTAATTCGGGATTTGGATTCCATCCGAAATGCGCAATTAAACATTATAGAAAAACTTTTTGTACTGACATTATTCGTATGAAACAGGTAGTGGAAAGTTGGAAGATCGCAGAAAAGCTACTTAAATTGATGATCGTTGTTTCACTACTATTTCAGTATATGAAAAGATTGAATCTCGTGAGTGAAGTCTTCAGTTGTCCATTTGTGTAAATTAGCTTACAGCAGAATAACCGATTGAAATATTTTAGGTTTTACTTACAAAACAACTTCTTACAGGAACGTTAGATGTAAAGGTCTGTGCGGCTCTGAAATGATCCCGGGTTTCTTAAAGGAGTAATAAATTGCTTGTTGTGGTCGGCTTGGAATGCACAGTCACCAATAAACTCAACTTTTGAATCTCAGCTCGTTGAAAAGATTGTGGACGGGAATAAGATGTAGTAACATAGAAAAGTATGGAATAGAAAAGCGATTATGTAACGTTCTGTAAATACGGAACTATGTTTCAGGAATTTTTATTAGATTTGAGGGCTCCAAATTCACGGACCCCTAGATTACTACGCAGATCTGACAAATTGTAAGGCTAATGTAGATGTATTCACGTCAGAGTCCATGCTGAAGATAAGAAATACTCTACTTCAATAGAGAATATCTCGTATGAATAGGAGATTGAGTCATATGTTGTCGAATAAGTTATTCGTTATGCGCATAATTATTAGAATAGATTGGAAGACGAGGTAACAGCCAAGATTGCTAAACACAGGCTGGTTGATGAGAACCACATGAAAGCTTACTCGCATGTATTGTTTATTTTTATTTTTATTTTATTTTTATAAATTTTAGGTCCTAAGCTATGCTCTATATCTCCTAGGAGTCAAGGACCGGTGTACACGGCCAAGGTCATGCTTCCCACATGCCCGACTCGGTCTCACTGCGTGACCCACTGCACAACCAGTAGCTAGTAATAAGAAAGAATATAAATGCTCCCACAGACTCCCATAACCAAAATTCCAAATCCAATACTCCAATTTGAGGTGGGAAAGCGACACTCCTCGTCTCGTTTTCCTACCTGTCATGCTTCGTGCTAGGACCTAGTTAATGTTGTCTCCGCTGAGAGCTGGTGACGGACTTGAAGGTGAGTCGCCGAAGCAGCCGGTTTCCTGCGCAAAATTTGTAAAATCCTAAAGGCACTTAGGCCCGAGAAGCTTTTGGACAAAGTCGTGATGTGACATTGTCCCTCGGAGTCGACGCGTCTGACGTTCGTGCAGTCGACAGTGAATGAAATGGAGAGGTGATGTTTCCTCTCCACACGCACACTCCATGGAAGCGGTGAAGTTGTTGAAACGACGGTGACATGCAGCGAAGTTTCCGTGTCCCGTTCGGGCTGAGATCAGTTCACGGAGTAACTGCCGAGAAAGTGCCTGCTCCTGTGGCTTGCGTCGTCGCATGAGTAGACCCAGATTTCGATACCTAGGTGGACATGCTTCCTCCCACCATTCCTCGAGAAGAGCTTGACGTTTCTGGTTCATCAGACGACGAACGTACGCCAAAGTGATGGAGCCAGGCTGGCTCTCTTTACTTGGAAGTTGTCGGAGGCCGGAGCGTGCAACTCTATCAGCCTCTTCGTTTCCCTGTATCCCGGAGTGGGCTGGTATCCACTGAACCGAGACTCGAGCCTTTTCTGATAGCGCCCTAAATTGGCGTACATCGTCGGGACTTGTTGTGGCGGTTCCCGTCAGCAGTGCCTTCACTGCAGACTGACTATCTGTCAACACGTTGACCCACTGCCTGCCGTTACTTCTCCCGTTCTCTCTCTCCAACAATCCTAGCGCAGCTTCCAGGGCCTTCCTCGCCCCTAATATTTCCGCATCGAGCACTTCACCACCATGCTTGATACCACATCCCTTCAACAGAGTCTTTCCATCCCTCTTCAAGACGAAACCCCATACTGAGCGACCATGCCCCTCCGACGATCCATCCGGGTAGGCACAGATATCCGATGGCAATACACCTCTAAGGAACCGAGTTACCTTGTCCTCCTCTTCTGTCCTTGGGCCGAAGTTCGACAGATAGCATGGCAGCGGCAGAGGCTTAGCGTCTTCCGCGTCCGGAAGTTGTCGGAAGGCCCGCTGCACTCTTGACATCTGGATCTCCGGATTCTTGGGTGCCCGAGCATTTTTCTTGTACTTCCTTGTTCCATTGTTTGGACACACGGCGGCACGAGTCCGGAGCGGATGTCGGTTGTCCAGTGAGTGGAGCCGAACCGAAAGCCGTAGTCGGTTCCCTTCCAGAATGATCTTCCCTGTTGGGATACCTCCTTCTCGGTGGAGAACAAGATTCGGTGTAGTTCTCATTACCGGGAGGGCAGCGCGCAGTCCCGTCAAGATTGCCTTGTCAATCATCTCGCAGAAAATGCTGGTTCGAGGTGTGATGATCCCCCTTTTGGTCGGACGTTTGAGGCCGGGCCACCAAACATCTGCTCCGAAGGTTGCTATGGGGACAATGCACGTGTCCACTGCTCGAACCAGTGCTGCAGGGGCAGCTCCTCGATACGCAGAGTTGAAGCGGCGCATTTGCTGGGCCACCTTCAGAGCTTTGCCACACCACGTCGTGACGTGATGTTTGAAGTCCAGCCGCGGGTCTAGGTGTACTCCAAGCCAGCGTATTTGGTCTGCTGGCTCGATAACCACGCCGTTCACACGAATGCCCACTGGCTCCTCGCGTTTCCGTCTGGGAAACTGGACTACCTCCGACTTATTGGTATCGAAGGAGACTGTGTTGGTACTTGCCCACTCCAGAAGATGATCCACCTCCTTCTGTACAGAAGCGGCCGACTCGGCAATGCTACGCCCGAATCCTAGTATCCCGATATCGTCTGCGTAGCTGAACCTCATTCCCGGGTTGCCGCTTCGCATAGGCTCTGCCATGTATAGAAGGAAGAGAAGTGGCGATATTGGTGATCCCTGCGGAACCCCACAAATCAGCTCTCTCTGCCCGGTTACCCGTCCGGAGTATCGGACTTGTACTTTTCGATGTACAAGAAAAGACGCCGTCCATCGGAGAATTGAGTCCGGCCATCCCTGATCTCGCATCCTCCTCACCAAACGGTTGTGGAGTACTGCATCGAACGCTCCTTGGACGTCTAGAGTTGTGAATGTGGCCGCCCATCCCTGGGTGCTTGCCTCTCCGATGTCGTGGACTACGCAGTTGACGAGGTCGTTTGCAAATCTTTTGGGGAGCGTGCCGAATTGTTGGTCTCCGACAACGTTGAGCGTAACCGCGAGATGGGCCATCCGCTTCGCCAAGAGTCGTTCCAATCCCTTACCCAAACATGACAGAAGTGCGATCGGTCTCCAGCCCTTAACAGTCACTGGATCGCGGTTCGTCTTGCGGAGGAGCACCACTTCAGCCAGCTTGAAGCAGGATAGGTGGGTGCCGAGTCTGATGCAGGCGCGGAAGAGAGTGCCGACAAATGGTCCAATCGTCTTCCAACAGGTTCGCAGAAGCTCCACAGAGATCCCGTCTGCTCCAGGCGCTGTGTTGGCGCAGCCTATAGTGCACATGCGAATCTCCTCGTCCGAGACATGGTCGTTCCAGGGGATTCGGTTGGTACTCGGCGCATCGAGTGGCGGTAGGTCGTCCGTCGTTGGTGCCGTGCTAGAAGAGCATCTCGGAGTATCTCTGCCCGCTCAGCCGGATCGGAGTACAGCTTCCCTTCGTGGTTGAGTGGAGAGGGGTGCTTGCCTGCCTTGGTTCGGCCGAGCGCATCAGCTTGAACACTTCAGTCGGTGTTGTGATCGCTTCGACTTGACGCGTCTGGTGCTCTTTCCTTGCCGCTGAGGGTTGAACGCAGCTTCTTCGCATGCACCCATCGTTTTTCCGGAGTCACTGCTGCACGATACTCCGTGCGAGCCAGCTTGCATTCCGGTGTCCACCAAGGTGCAAATTTGCCACGTCTTTTGTTCCTTCGTGTTCCTGCTGCTTTGATAGCGTTAGTAAGGCCGGAACAGAGATCGTTGGCGTATTCATCCACCTGGCAAACCGTGTCCAAGACTGGTGGCGGGTGAGTGAACTGCGTGACGGCAAAGGCGAACCTCGGCAGGTTGCTGTGACGGCTTGTGAGCCGATAAGTCCTGTAGCCTTCGATGACTACCGAAGGCAACCTATATTCTCTATCAATCCGAGGATTATCAGCAGACGAAAACTGATACGAGATCGCCACTGAGGCTACGTAAAGGATAGTGCCAAGAGTATCGGAAGCGTTACCCGTGTGGCAGAACAAACCTTTAGTCAGTTTCATTGCCACTGTAAGTGTAGGCTAGATTTAGATACCTCTGGATGTGTAAAAGTAGTAGAGTAGACTTGCAGGTAGTTTGCTTCTACATAGATGAATTATAGCTTTACCTTTCAATCATACAAATGCCCATTCGCTTTCTATATTTGAACTGTGACAGTTGCCGCGTGTTACCCTGATCGGCGATGGCTCCTGGTCCCTTTTTCCGAATCCGGTGGGAACTTGTCCTCGAATGGGAAGATGGTTGCTGGTGACACACTCGCTGCGATCCACCCATGCTTGGGCCCCGTTGACGTTGGTCCCAGCAAGATCCAGCGTGTTTCCTGCCCGATGCGTTGGCTCGCCCACAATCAGACAAGTGAGATTATGGCGTTCCGCCCATCTCTCAATTTCGATTCCTTGTGCGCGTGGGCGGGTGACCTCTGGTTGCCACGCGCAGTGCACCGCGTTGAAGTCACCAGCCGCAACGGATCGGGGTGGTGGGTCCCAGCTGAGGAGGGGTTGAATTGCCGTTGGGTTGTTTGGGTCTTTATACACGATGAGAAACGTGACTCCGTTTACCACAACCCAGCAGTAGTCCGCCGTCGGGGGATCGCAGGGAAAGATTTGAGTTGCCGAGTGGATTCTACTGTTTATTAGCGTATAAGTCACTGCCCTGGGTCGAACGT